CTGTATACTCTGGACTATTTTCACTATTCACACGTCTCACTTGAGCGTCGGAGGGGTTTCTGCCGGATCAACCACCAGCTTAGTTCATGTGTGCTCATTTCGCAGGGACCTCAGGATCATCAAGTTGTCAAGCTACTGATCTGCTATGCTCTCCCAGCTCGTTTTCTACACTACATCAGGTGATCTAAGTAATTAGCATCATCAATTGTAAAAAATAATAAAAATAATAATAATAATAATAATAATAATAATAATAATAATAATAATAATAATAATAATAATAATAATAATAATAATAATAATAATAATAATAATAATAATAATAATAATAATAATAATAATAATAATAATAATAATAATAATAATAATAATAATAATAATAATAATAGTTGTCTGACATTTGACCTTAACGCCGTTTGATCTAAGCTCTAAAGATACAAAACTACCACCCCTCCTAATTTAAATAATTATTTAAAAATAATAATAATAATAATAATAATAATAATAATAATAATAATAATAATAATAATAATAATAATAATAATAATAATAATAATAATAATAATAATAATAATAATAATAATAATAATAATAATAATAATAATAATAATAATAATAATAATAATAATAATAATAATAATAATAATAATAATAATAATAATAATAATAATAATAATAATAATAATAATAATAATAATAATAATAATAATAATAATAATAATAATAATAATAATAATAATAATAATAATAATAATAATAATAATAATAATAATAATAATAATAATAATAATAATAATAATAATAATAATAATAATAATAATAATAATAATAATAATAATAATAATAAAATAATAAAATAATCAAGAAACGAGAAAACATAGTCAACGACGTCTGCCACCATTTATTTATTTTTTTATTTTTTTGGATTTTTAATAATTATTTAAGCTAGGAGGAGTGGCTTTTTTTTGTAATTTCCAGACTTGGATCAAACGGTGTTAAGGTCAAAGGTCTGAAAACTAACGGCGAGGGCCATATTGAGACAATTTTTCAAGTAAAGTCATATTCAGCCAAAGTACAAGGGGGAAAGTGGAATTTACCCTAAATTTTATGCACTTGACTGATGGTTTTATGTTGTCTAATGGTAGACAAATATAACATGAAATTAAAAGTTATTTCTCATGTAATTTATTTATATAAACTTGTTTCCGTGATTTTTATTTTGATGGCAAAAAATTTAATGCCCCTTGTTTGTTTTATCTTCGATATTATTTGAATTTTTAGTGACTTTATTTGTTCATGAACTTCTTATATTTTCCAATTCATATTTCTTCCCTCTAAATATTAGGGTCCAATGGCTATAGATAGTTTCCTTTTCAATTTAGTAAGTTTTGTGTTTACTTCAAATTAAAAATCATGAGTTAAGTTTTAGGCTCTGATTGAATGATCAGTCTCCTTCTCCTTCGTGCAGACAATACCTCATACCTTATGTAAAACACTTGTATTTGCTGTCGTGCTCTTATAAAAAAATTTAATGTTATTAGATATTAAATTCTTTTAACACAAATCTTCGATATGGTTCCCATTACTATTCAGGTGAGTTTTAGGGAGATATTATTATAGAAAATCTACGAGCCATTCAAGGGGATACTAGAGTGAATTATGCCAGTTTACTTTATATGTTTTATCACCGTTATTATTGGAGATATTAGTGACAAATGATACACTTCACTAATAGCTTAAACTTTCGGTTGAGGTAGTCATTCAACATGGTACCAGAGTCAGACCAAATGAAAGGTCATGAGTTCGAATCCCACCGCCATCCATTTCAAATATTTCAAGTGCAAGGCTTCAAATGTAATTTGCTTAAACTTTAGGGGGCGAATTGAAGATATTAGTATTAAATAATAATAGCTTAATTTTTGGTTAAGGTGGTCATTCAACAACTATATTTGGTTCGTTTTTTTTTTTCCCTTTTATTGCAAGTCGATGTGATCCGTCAAAACTACAAGATAAGAATGTTGGATGTACATCATTTTTCTTAGACATAACATGCATGGGAGGTACAACTGTACATGTGAAGTCAACAACAAATGGATTCTCCGATCCATGGTGTAGTCACATGATGATGAAACTGATAGCTGAAGGACAAAATGAAGCCATCCAAAATGCATAGGCAGAAATTTCAGCTCAATCTTGTATTCTCGAATGGTTTT